AGCGCACGATGAAGAAGCAAGAGAGAAAAAGACAAAGGAAAAAAGCAGAGGAGCACCTGTATGTCAGGTTATAAGAGAGTAGCAGCAAATTAATTAGGTTATTTTCTCATCTTGTGTGAAACTGATTCAGAGAGTGACAATAGTTGGGGTCATTTTAGGTAAGAGAAATTAGCTCTTGAATCTACTCCTTATCCGAGTCTTGAGTTGCTGTTAGCTCACGTTTCCTCCCGAGGTTTTCTCCCAGCTGACCTTTGACATCCTACAGTTGATTGAGAATCCTGCAGCCGCAGCTCGAGCATCTAGTTCTGCCAACAAAGATCACATTTCTCAAGTTTTGACATCTCTGCACAGATTCCCTGTTAATTTTAAAATACATTTCAGATTCCTATAATAACACACAAAGCCCTCACTGACCTAGTCTCGCAAAATTTAAAATAGCTTATTTTTCCTACCAACCCAAAAGAACATTTTTCCGAGAGTTGTTTTTGGGAAGCTTTTCAGAAAAGGAAAGTTTTTCAGTTCCTCTTCTCTTGAATGTTTCCTGGGTGCAGGACAAACCTTTCTTCCACATTTATAAGTAAGATTAAAAAATAATCTCTAAAACTTGCTAAAGTATTTGCTGAGTATAAAAAATTTATATTACCTAGTATTGACACATTAATTTTAAAGTGGTGTTTTTGTACGTCGTTTTGAAAGCCTTTGTTATTTCTTGTTTTTGACTTTATATAACTTACAAACTCCTATTGGCAGTGCTATTTAAAACCCAAAACGTTTGTTTCACTTTTTATTTTTTCTTTATTTGTTCTTAAATACTTTAGATTGTACTTCTATTTGAAAAAGTAATAAGCAAAATTGTTTTAGTAGTAGATAAAAGATGTACAATTTAGGTGACTGTACTTTTAACCAACATCCGTTTGTCTTCAAAAACAGAGAAGTTGAACAGTTGGAAGCAAAGCATCATCCAACAACTAACCTATGCTGCAAAACTGACAGAAGTGCTCAAACTGTGGGAATAAAATGGAAATCAAAACAAAAGCAAATTACTTCTCCATGTGTAACTGGAAACTCAAGCTTCTAAAGAGGTTCAGTCCTACTGAAGTTAACAACCGTGCATTCTTGTCCATTTATCAGTTTCAAAGAACAACAATTAGGTCATGCAGATCCGTGATGACGTCTTCCACAGCGGCTGGTTTGTTTGGAGGGACCAGAGGACTGTGTACAATTTTCGTAGTGCTCCTGAGTCAAAGTTGGAGCTGTTGAATATTTATAGCAATGTGTCCCCTGCAATGCCCGGGTGGGAATGCAAAACGAGAAACCACATGCGATCACGCACAATGCTGTCGCTTAGATTTGGTTAGCGCTGGGTAAGCCACTGCCAGAGATCAGCATTACATGAAAACCGCCTCTAAAAATACGTAACCATGACACCCTGGTGATTTTTTTCTGTACAGGCTAAATTTAGCTCAGTGAACTATTACAGGAAAGTAAGAAAATTGAACAGGTCAATGTTTTTTGTAGCAAATAAAAAAAATAATTTGTAGCAAATAAAAAACATAATTCTAAATGTCAGAAGGCACCAAGAAATCAACATAATGCAGATACATCAAGACAAACTAATCCATAAATTCAGTTTTATGAAATTAGACAGAATAAGCAAAAACAAAGCCTAGAAAGTCAAGATAATATCTTGAATGTGTCACTATTTAGAAAGCAAACCTGCTAGCTATGAGTTCCAATTAATAGTAGCATTGATGGCTGATAACAATATTTATTGTTACTGACATTGAATAAGAAGCAATTCACAATGAGCCAAGAGCTCCAGAACATTATGACCTTACTGTTTCAAAACATGCTGATGTCAACGGACATATACAGGCATATTCTTTTGTGCTCCAGGTGCTTTTGCATGGTTTCTGACATAACATTGTATTTTGAGGAGGAATGGGGTGGTGCATCATCACAAAAATTCTGTAAAATATTCACGGATTTTTCTGTGGAGCAAAACTTCCTATTTATCTGCAAAAAATTCACTATTTCTCAGAGATTTTTGAAGAGCATATCTAATATATTCAATAGAAAATGCAGCTTGGGAAGCTGGAAAGACTGGGAGAAGAGACATCATATTATTAGATGATGTCTGAAAATGAGCCAAACTCGGAGTGTCATTTATTTTTCCTTGGCACTGATTGGCTGTGCGCCCCAGAGCAGAAATAAGAAAAACTAGATGTTATCTTATGCAGTAGCCCCAAGATGGTTCCCACCTTTCATTGAAATGCATATTAAGTTATATTTGGTGTTTAAACTCTTAAAATAGACATTTACAAGCTCTTTCAGAGGATGCGTCAAGTACTTGTATATTTTAGCAAGATGGTTCCTGAGCTCTGGGAATAGAGAGGGTCCATCATGGTGTTGGTTTATCTTTCAAACAAATGGTGCTATGAATCTTCAGGTAACTACAAAGGGGATGAGTGATTAACAGTACTGGGACATTCGTGGAAAAGAATTCGTGGAAAGATTTTTCAGCTACACAGTGATCCCAAACCCACAGCCAAGAAAACTCCCAGCTGTGTTTAGGCAAAGGTGATAAAGCTGCTAGAGTCACCAAGTAAATCACTTGCCTTGAATCTTCTTGATTTGAAAATCTGTAGAACAAACTCAAGATTGCACAGAAGAGGCTGATGAACCTTAAAGATAACACTTTGACAACATCTTTCCACAACAAAAACATCTTGAACTTATTAGCAAAAGCTACTTTTACAACTAAAAATGTAATCAGTTTCAGTAAGACCACTTAATACTCATTGTACTTTGAATATAAAGAATACTTTCACATAATTTTACAATGCATGTGGATTACTTGGATTGCTACAAATACCTAATGTGAACTTTAGGTCAGTAGATCTGTATGTATGAGCAAAAAACAGGTGTTCAATATTATTCAATTCAATTATTGTCTCAACTTTATATATTTATTGCTGTTTTTTGCTCTTCATTGAAAATATCAGTGAGCAACCAGCTGGTCACAACATAATCCTGCAAGGTACTCAAGTGGTTTAAATGTATAATCTCACACAATGAACAAGTTTTATTTGTTTTAATAAATCATCCTCTATGCATGGCAGTAAACTACCTGAATCGCACAAACGGTTCAGACAATTTTGGGACTTCTGTCCTACTTCGAGACATCTCACAGAATGATTTCATTTGTCAGCCATAAGGCCTGGCGAGAGAAGCTGAAAAGCAAGACCACCTGCACTTACTTATATCCCAGAGCCCCACGAGCGAGTGTCTGAGAAGGCTCAGAGGATTAACTTACAACTTTTACAGCTCAGTCGGCACACGCTATTATACCTATTCAGCCACACTTGCCTCTGGGCTATGCACAAAAAAAAAAAAAAGAAAGCAGCGGCACGCACACATATGTACACACGCGGTGCCCGCTTGACCTGGTTATAAAGCAAGCTGTCACAACCCTGCTGCTTATGTGTGCATGTATGTGTTTTTCTTCATCTTTAGGGGAAACTCTGAAGTTTTCCATCTGTTTTGAGGAGTGAATCTGTGATCCGCAGCCTGCGTAATGAGGTGAGATAATCTCTGCAGGTTCTGGAAGCTGCCAGGGATGGATGATGGTAGCAGGAATGTTATAAAACAGACTGCCCAGATGACAGCAACAAGGGTCCCTATTAGAGGAAGGCAGTGATGAAGAAGTAAATTTGATTATGTATTATGATTACTCACTCCTGCCAGCTGGCCATCACATGTATTTGTGATGCTACTAAAAAAACTGGATTTTGTGTTTGCCCCTTTACTACATATGGTTCATCACCAGTAAGGTACAGAGTTAGAGTTAAAATTTTAAATAAAAAATTCTAAAAAAGCAACATAATCTAACAGATTTAGTCTCCAACAGAAAAGCAACAACTATTAATATTGATTACACGATGTTTTCTACAACATTAAGTTTGATGGACTCATGAGAACGTAAATATGGCTGAATTAGTTGGATAATCTTCTCTGTGATTTTGGTTCATAACTCAGCTTAAACCTGTGTCCCCTTGACTGTTCAAAAACAAAATATGAAAAAACAGTTATCAGAATTTGATCAGATTAACTAATCAATGAGGTTCCTTCAACTTCTATTCCATACAACCATGTGAAGCCTAGAGTTTTGTGATTCCACAGACTTTTCACAAAAGCACATTTCCCATCGCCAGGAAAACGTTTTGTGTGAAGAAAACTCTGGACCGAATAACAAGGAGAAGATAGAAAACAACAAGGACCATTGACTTGATGAATTAGTTAATCAGGAGTATTCTATAGGATGCCGCTGACTCAAAATATTAGAAAGGTGCTAAAAGGTTAGCTGTTTTAGTGTTTTAGTGATTTCTCTTAGCTTCAACATGGCATCGATATTAAGAACTGAAATGTTTTATTGGACAGTAAATAAATCAGTGTTGGTGCCAAAAAAATAAAAAATCATTCTGATATGATATCCCTAATGAAATTATTTACTTTTTAAAACACATCTGAACATCTCCAAATATAATTTCAATGTTCCTTCTTCAGTAAAATGGCTTCTGTACAGACAGACAGACAGACAGACAGACAGACAGACAGACAGACAGACAGACAGACAGCGTTGCTCAGGCATACATGTTGTCTCTTAGGAATATTCTGCATAGCATTTCATGCTGGACTGTTTTGTGCATTTTTGGCTTGTCGACATGTTGCCAGGCAACTTCACAAGGAAAACAAATGAATTCAAGGTGAATTAAGCACAAAAACATGCGTGTGCTCATCCATCCTCTTCACAACCAAACAAGAGACCTTGAAGGGTTTTGCTGTTTCTCCCCTTCACAGTGAGGAGTCAATGGACCACAGACATGGACCCTTTTCACTTCTGGGGCCTTTGTTTTCAAATGGTAGGTATTTATCAACATTTTCTGGGGTTTACCTTCACATCGATCTCTCAAGTGGAGAAACAAAGCAGGAATACTTACAGGAGGACCTAAAGGAGAGAAGAAAACACCAGTTAGTGATCTTTCAAACAGAATAAAACAATCACTAAAACATTAGACATTAAACTCTTCTTTCACTATGTCAAAGTGCTTCTTAGTATGGAACTAAAACTTTGTTTTCCATTAAGTTGGGGGAAAATGCCACCAGGCCTGGCAATCACATTTTAAATTTGTAAGTGGCTCTGATTTTATTATACAAGGGGTTGTGTGCTTGTTAAAAATCTCCAACAATTTTTGTGAGGTGACACTTTTTCCCCAATTACTGGAGCTCAAAGGACTCTGTGAGAGGAAAAATGCTGCACTCCCCAGAACCAAGCAAATATTGGGCTTTTATTAAAAAGGTTCCCAGCTGCTTCAGCCCTGAGAAAAGGGATTTTATTTCTTTACAATCTCTACGTTCCACCAACCCGCTCTTCTTCATGACTTGCCCAAATCGCTCTGACAGCTGGGGCCCATAAGGAGTCATGAGATTGAGGCTCAGTGGGCCGAGCTTCTACGGTGCTGTATAATGGACGATTGAATTAAAGGGGACCACTTTGGTTTTAATACATCTGCTTCAATGTGTGTTTTCTGACACATTTGGCTGTGATCAAATGGTTTTTCACCAAGAGGTCTGGAATAAACTAACAAAACCAATTGGAAAATGTGATAAATGGGCATGATTTGGTTCAGTGCAATAACAAATCAGTTGTTTGGGAAGTTACAATGATTAAATCTTGAGGATCTAATTTAAAACAGGTTCAAATAATTAATTATAAACACGCAGCATTGTACTCAAAGCTGTATTTGTAATCAACAACTTCACATTCTTCCACTGACACCATTACTGACAGCAATACTATTGTTGGCCAACGTTATTGGAAAAAATAGTTTTTATGGACCATAGATTTGCCGACATTGAGGTAAAGCTTATCAAAGTTCAGGGTAGCACAGACAACAGGAAGGAAGAAGAATGGAAAGAAGTATTGAAAATAGGTATGAAGGAAGAGGAACATTAGGTAGGAGTTAAGGCAAGTGGGAAGAAAAAAAAGAAAAAAGTAGAAAGAAAGGAAGTAAGAAAGAAAAACAGGAAAAAAGAAATTTATGTTAAAGTGAAGGCTTGTAGAGAGAAAGGAAGAAAAGTTTGGAAAGTAGAAAGGTACAGAAAGTACGCATGAATACTATCTTACAAAAGTACATTCAAATATAAACTTCACTATATTTCAGTGGGAATTTAATGAAATAGTTTAAATCAAAGTAATTATGAATTGAAAATACAATCATTTGTAGTTTTATTTAATTATTTTAAAACAAAAATCTGAAAAGTATGACATGTTTCTATTTATTGCCTTGATCTGACAGGTTTGCATCTATTTCAAAATAACTCAAATGTAGCAAAAGGGCATAAAACCACTTATGAAAGGCATTTCTTTTTCTTGCCTAGAATTTTCAATAATAAACAAATCTGGACTTTGACTAACCCATGAACACATTTTTGAGCCTTTCCTTTGTAGCTGTGGCTGAATGTGTGCAGTCATTGTCCTGCTGGAGGTCGACTGTTTAAATCTGACCAGTTAGAACCAAAAATGGAGCTCAGTGAAATGTCGAAAGCTTGAGATGCTGTTTCAAACTTCTCCACGGCTTTCTCTCTGCTGTCTGCCGTGTTCCTCAGTGTTCATAATGCCGTTTGTTCACTAATGTTCGCTAACAAAACACATGAGGCCTTCGCAGAACAGCTGTTTTTTACAGTGAGATTAAACTACACACAGGTGGGCTTTGTTTAAAAAATCTGACGATTTCAGAAGGTAATGGACTGAAACTGATTTGTGGCGGGATGGGGAATCAAAGTAAAATGGGACTGAGAATATATTTAGACCAAACATTTTTGGTTTCAATCCATAAAAAAATTCAACTTCCACTTGTTTGAAATCCACCATAGTTCAAAGGCTTCTTATACTCTTGCAAGGAAGGAAGGAGACTGTGGTTTAAACACCAAATTAGACAGTATTGGTGTTTTTTGCAGCGTGAATTATTTTTGTTTAAAAGAAAACTGACATTTTAATACTTTTGCAGCTATATTTTAATGAACGCACATTCACACCAGTGTTTTAGTCATGGTTGTCAACATAAGTAATCCAAAATTTATAATATAATTTGTGATACTACAGAGAATGTTTAAGGTTTTTGTTCCCATTGTCTGACAAACCACTGTGTGCTAAACTCAATTAGTGGGTTTGTGTATTTCCAATTGCTTTTGTCAAGAGGAAACTATTCACATTCTCCACATTTGCTCTGGTTAAAAAGCAAAAAAAAAAAAAGTCTAGACAATGCTGCTTTTAGAAGGATGATGGCATGACATATGTCACCTGTGTTTCAGTCACATAATTTCTTTTTTGTATAAATCTCAAAGGATCAAGCATTGTGCTGCACAAGACTTTTTAATATCCTTTTGGTGACTTTTAACAGTTCATTCTTGACCCGTTTGTTCCACTGTCAGACTCGCGCGGCGAAACTCGTCAGCTCCAGGATCAGTTGCTCCTTTCATTGGTGCCGGCACCAAACTAACAAGTCTTGATTGTTCAGAAGGAAGGAAAATATTTAACCAAACCTTTCCAGCAATGACTACCTGTTACAACATTTTGACACTGTGGCGTTTCCATGGGCAAAAACCTTATTCATCTCACTCTTATTTTTTCTTTTCCATATAAAGGCAGAAAGCAGCACAGTACTCCTAATGAAATATTTCATTCATATTTAACACTGGAAAATATCGCTACGTCCGTTTTCCAATTTTTCTTCCTGTCACTTCCAGCAAGGCCTGACAGCTTCCTTCTGCCTTTAGAAAGAATACTTCTGGTTAGGAAAAAACATATGACTCGCTTCAGTGTAAAAACAGAGCTATGAGAACTTCTGGGATATTCGCAAATGGCTTATAGTGAAGAATTTGTTACATGTGTCCATCAGTAACTTTTTTTTTATTATCAGAAAAACAAAAACTGAAAAATCACGGTTCAAATTGTTACATTTAGCTCCTGTTTTGTGGGATTCAAAGCATAAGTACTCCAATGTTTAACCAAGCAAGATTTCACCAGAAGGAAATATTAACTTTTACACATCAATCTGAAACTATAATTGTAATACAACTTGAACATTTCCATATTAAACTGCTTGTATTTCATTAGGATTTTACATGACTGACCAGCACAAAGCAATATACTACTGTGAGGTAGAAGGAAAAGCATGAACTGTTTAAAGACATGTTACAAAAAAACACAGAGAACTTGCAGAAATCCAGAATCAGCTGACAGGAAACTTCATAAATCTAACACTGCACATCAGCCTCTCAGAGAAACATGGTGGTGGCAGCATCATCTTATGGGCATGTTCTTTTTGTCCAGCAGAGAGCAGAAAGCTGCTCAGTTAATGGGATGATGGATGAAGTTATTAATTGGGCAATCCTGGAAGAAAACTTGTTAATGTCTGCAAAAGGGACTTATAATGAATGTTACTCTTTTAAGATGTTTATTTATAAGAAGTTTGCAAACCATTGAACTTTTTCCCTCCATCTCACCATAACAGTATTTGTTACTTTTGGTTAGTCCGGTCCCACTAATTTACACAGAAATTTGTGGCCACACTGGACAAAGTTCATGTTCCTGGCTGGCATCTACTAAACCTCAATATTTTGTTAACACACATCATCCAAAATTTAAATGCGATTTTGATGATATTACACAGTCTATTGAAGCTTCGTGTTCCTATTGTCTGGCCAATCACTGTGACCAAAACACAATGAGCGGGTTTGCTTATTTCCAATTGATTTGTCAAGAGGAAACTATTCACATTCTCCCCATGTCCTCTGGTTTACAAAGGGGAAAAATGTCTCTATACAATGGTGCCTTTAGAAATATGATGACAGGTTTTATGTTTATTTGGAAGTTAGGTTGAGAATAAACAAAGCCCAGTGGTGTTTCAGATTCACAGCTAGCTGTAGCATTGAAGTTTTTTTTCTGTCATTTCAATTCCCAGTTTTCATCTCGTGGCTGTGAAGTGGTGCACTGGAACACTTTTTTCATCGCATGAATAGAAAGATTGGGAAAACCGAGCCACACTAATTTACAAGATGTATAAAGTGACCTTGAAAAGGATCATAACTTTGTGAGAGAAAAATCAAAGTAAAGGAATTAATTTGATCTTTATTACTCAAACAGCAAACCTCAATTGATTGGATTTAATTTCTCTCGACTTTAAACAGCTTTTTATTATTTAAATTTTCCCTCAAAGACTGTTGGATTCCCAGCCTGTGAATCCAGACATGCTCCCTTTGCTTTACCCTGCTCGTATAAATCCTTTTTTTACAAGGGCAGTACTTTGGTTTCCCAGCCTTTTTGCTGTTCTCTGTTGCACTGTGCTCAAGTGTGGAAGGCCAGCACACTCGAGAGCCCATTATCACTTTTCTATCAGGTGAAGGGAGTGTGGATGCAGCTCTCCGCCAAGTGCATGTTCTTGCTGCAAATTCAATTTGGGGCGACACTCTTTGGCTGTGGAGGTGTCACTGTACAAAATCTCATTCCCCTTGGTATTCGAGGGCTCAGCTGGGCCAGGGTTCTCGATTCCGATCAGGAGGGGGTGTGTATATGAGCGAATGAAAGAGTGAGATTGGACATATTAATTGCAGCCACGGCAGAAGGAATGCACCCAGCTTCTCCTTCCTTAAGGTTTGATATATCAGGGCATTCAATTACAAGCACAGTTGCCTTAACCAGAAGTAAGTCGGCGAAGAAACACAGGTTATAATGATCTAATCCGTCTTTTACAGTATTTTGGTGAAACAAAAGAAAACAAACCCAGTCTGCTTTAGGGGTTTAAGTTTAGTGCGGTTCACAGCATTTCTTTGAGGTTTTGATGAGGCCATTTCAACACGTAGATGCTTGTGGCTGTGGCGTCTTCCTTTAGCATCCAGTTTATACCAAGCTTTTCTTATAAATGGTCAAACATTGACTCTTCTCAATAAATTGGTTGACAAAGAAAGTAAAGGTGCATTTCCATAACGATACCCAGAAATTTTCTTCCTTGTAACTTTATCCTCTAAAAAAATACATTGTACTTCTAAAAGACGACAGTAAAATCTACTGGTGTCCAATTGAATTATTTCTTTTCTAAATTCATAGAACAAGACAATTCTCATCTCTGATCTAAATTATAAATGTACAAACCAGGTTCTCCGTCGCGCCCTCTCCTTCCTCTCTTACCAGGAGGTCCTGGAACAAAAAGAAACAAAATACGTTTAGGTCTAAGACTTGATTGCCTTAAATATGTATGAGTTTGATATTCTTCAACCGTTCTCACAGTCATATTGCTTTCTGTAAGCATGAGAAGGCACACAGAGAGCAACTGGACATTAACTTTAACAGCCGCATTCAGATATTTATACTGATGGATCATACAAAAAGGCAGCCAACTTCCAAGTCATCACTACAATTTATTTTCAAGAGGGATGCCATTGTTTCTGAAATTTTGTACAGGGATCGTGTTTCTGTTTTTTTTTTTCTTCTGTCAACTATTGTCCAGTTATTGCTCGTAAACACGTAGTTCCTCAAACCATTGGTAATCATCGACTGCAAAGTGCACTTTGCAGTCGATGATGCCATGTTCAATCATACAATAATGTTTGACTTCACAGCTTTACATCAACTGGATTGTGAAGATCTGCTCATAGATACATTTTATGTATCACTTTCCATGTAAACATGTTTCTGTGTTTACAAAACAAGTTTATATAACAGCAAAAAAACAAAAGACCAAATAAAATGAGATGAAGATTGTAGCTCACATTTTCCCTTACTTGCAGGCTACAAGTGTTACTTGGGTGCAAAATGCAGGACTGCATTGAAACCTCCTTGTATGATACTAAGCCCTGAATCTGATCCCACCGTTTGGCTCAGCTTCGACCTCAAACTCTGCTCCTTTTGAGCGGTCTCCAAGATAATGTCAGGCGCTGCCAGTGAGGAGTCCGGGCTCAGTTCAATGTAACCACAGGTGGAGTTTGACTCCCACTTTACAACATGAGCCCCGTTTGCTTCCACAGGTTTGTTTTTTGAGGTTTTGTAAGAAACAGAAGGCGGTTTACTGCACTTGGCACTCACTTCACTTTAACTCACTTTGTAATGACACTTGACACCTCTGAAAGGAATATTTCGTAGGACATTATGACATCCTTCTGATTTCTGTGGTATGACAGCTGCTAAGAAAACATTTGCCATATGGTGGCTGCTGTTCCAGGCAAAATACCTTACGTTATTTGCAAATATCACCATGGTTTATAGTATTCCTCACTTTATTTTTCATTCTAATTTCAGACTTTAAGGGAAGCCAGTTGAAATTGCAGAGAGATATAAAGATAAAAAAAAAAAACTTCACTGAGACCCATGTATGTGCCAACAATAATATTTCGACTTCAGAAAGAAAAAAAGATTTACTTTATGTTAGCAAAAATAGTCAAAACAGGTTTTCAGATATATTTAAAAAAAAAACTGATCAAGGGCTCTGGCTGTAAATGAAATAAGACTTGGTGAAAAAGCATTTTGGCTTTAGTTTTCTCACAGATTCCCAAATGCTGTCACGGAACAATGGTTTTTGGAGAAAAAAATAAATAAAGTGCGGCTGGGAATTTTACGATGAGGGTCAGCAACTATGAACAATCTGTTAAAACCTTTTCAGCACTTTTTTTTTTTCGTTTGCCTGTCACTGAAATAAATCAAAGTAAATTTAATATTCTTTCAGATGTATGGTCAGACATAACAAAATGGATGCTGTGGTTTTGTGTGTTTCACATTGTGTTCCACATTTGGTGGCGTTTGCATTTTAGAAAGTGATGCAGCAGATAATATTTTCTCTCATGCTGAACTAGAAAGAGGAAAGTGTCAGGAGAGGTATGATGGTTTGGCTCCGTGTTTAGCTATGCTAGCAGGGTGGTGGACTGGAAAGCCTTGTCAATCAGTCTGCTTTGTGCCAGGTTAAAATCTCTCTACAACTATCAAATGAACTGTCCAGGAATTGTCTTCAGACAGTTGCTTGACAGTTTAATGGTTTAAGTGGTGGTCCAACATTTTCTGTGGCAACATCTTGGGGTTGACAGTTTCCTGTTTAAGCAAAATACTGTAAGGACAAATGGTGTTCATTTCTATCACGGGATCAATCATGTATCTGCTGATGCCTAAGCTTTTAATTTAACCAGAGAGGATTATTTCTTCATGCCTGTCAAAAACTTTTCAGCTAGCTTTGCAAGACTTTTTCCAGTTCCAGGTGAAGCTTACTTCATGTTAGCATGCATGTTGCAGAGAACAAAGCAAGTCAATATTCAGATTCCCACTGAGATAGAGCATGTTAATAAACGTCCTGAATCTGTTCAGCTTAAAGAGTTGTGAGATGATGGATGTAGATATAAGAACATATGGAGACAAGTTTGAGATGATAAAATCCCAAATGGCCATTGGAAACACAGAGAATCGAACAGCAACTGAATGATGCCATCTTGCCAGGAGGTTAATTTTTTTATTTATTTTTTTTTATTTTAAATCTTGTACACCTTGTATCGATGCCACTGAGAAATACAATGGCTGTAAAAACAAGGTTGCAGAGTCCAAATTGGTACGAGCAAGTTACGCCACAAAATGCAACACCTAAGATTTCAATCCTTTAATAATGACAATGAAAACTAAACACTGCTTCAAAACAATTTAATTAATGCATGTTGCATTTGAAATGCTAGAGTGAAATGTAGTTGTACTCTCTTTCTTTTACCATGACTGTCTATTTTGCTAAATCACAGCATAAACTCAACACAGTCTCCTTTTCACACAATTGAGACAATATGACTCTTTTGTGTCAAAGTTTCTGAAGGAGAAGCATCAAACCCTGAGAACAAAAACAAGTGCATAATACAACCTCCTTTTCCCTTTCAAGAATCAGACGGCATTCAAGTTTTAAATCGCCCACTCTTTCCTAAACTTTACTAGAAGTTGTTTGAAAACCATTTCACACAAAGCATTTGGAAACACTACAAAACATGCAGCTTTAATCCATTGTTTTACGATTTTCTGCAAATATTGTTCATCACAACATTATTTTAAAGTTATGGATTGTTTGACATGATAAACGTCCTGTTTATACTTCATGCAACTGAGACACAACTGCCTTTTAGCATTGCCCATCATCCATGAAGTATTGATTGGCCCTGAGCAGTGGCCCTCTTTTCGCTTCTCATTTTCCTCCAAATCAATCAGTCTGAAGCAAGCCAGCACTGGGTGGAGCAATTTACACTACCAGCCATGTCTCAGAGTGCAACGTACATAATCAGACTGCTTAAAGCCCTCTCTCACGATGTAACGGAGCCATTCTTCAGAATGAAAGTCAGACTTTTGCCAAAAACAGCAAACAGTGTACCACTTGTAACCTCCAAGCAAATCAGGTTTAAGGAGAATTGGCTTCAGATCTCTCTGTGAGCGCAGATCCACTTCTCTGCAGTATATAATCTGTTTCAGTTTTTATTACACAATGTTTTAGTCATCATACATAAACCCTAAAATTTATTACTTAACTATGCCACAAGATGGGTTAAAACTCAATGCAATCTAAAGAAAAAAAACTGTTTTCTCAAACATATCATGATTTTCCAACGAAGCAGAACCAAATCTAAATCTCACTTCTTTAAAGGCAAAAGGTTTTGCTACAGTTTTTGAAATACAAATAAACATATTGATGTGAAGGGCAGATTTGGAATATGTTCAGACAGATTTTAGAAAGTCTTTATTGACATTTGCCTTTTTGCCCTTTCTACAACTGGGATCTTTGTGCCATGGGGTGGTAGTTTCAACATTTGGTTATATGATTAAGGGTGTCTTGCAATTCAAATTTGGATATTTCAGAGGTCCAAGTCAAATGAAGTGCAGAAGAATTTAACGTTTTGCACCCACTTAATGCTGTTAAGAGTTCAGGAAGGGTTCGAGCCTGTTCCCACAGTCAATGAGCGAGAAGTACAGTACACACTGGACATTTCACCAGCCTAATCGCCGAATCAATCAGTAAACGTATTTTAACATCTCGTGCTTTTTCATGGATCCTTCCTTCAAAATACAAATGATTCCCAATTACAAATCAGGAATACTAAAAAATGATTTTTTCTTCTTCTTATATCTTCTTGTATTATAAATCTTTACGATAAATTTCACTCAGCTAAAATTTGGCATTGGCAGGTCAAAGCTAAATTTAATTTAGACATCTTGATCTATGACCCAAACTGGGTCCACATCAGTGGATCTCTATATATAGCATGCAGGCACTTTGTTGGTTTCTAATGTTTTACTTTTAGTGTCACGGCAAAATTCTCAAACATCAAACAAACATGTTTTGCAGCCATATGTTTCTTGCAAGTTAAGTAACTGGAGAGGAAATGTGATTATCCTCACATTTCCTCTCCAGGAAGCCAAATATACTGTGTGAGATTGTGATTTGTAAGAATGCATTTTTTATATATACATTTAAGCGTAACAAATGAAAAATGTTTCTCACCGTAGACTTAATTTATCTTTTTACACCATGTTTACAGTCCATTTAGCCACTGTTCCATTTATTTAACTGGAACTCTTCAACAGCTGTCCAAATTTGTGGTGGAATATTTTAACCACTACTACTCATGACTAAGGTCCAAAAGGACATTTAAAACCCAGTGGCAAGAGGTATGTAAACGTTGGAAATGGGATTCTGCTTTAATACAATGCTTAATGCAACATTCTGTACAAATATTTGGCAAAATATCACTTGGTTAATATACTTTCAAAAACAATGGCTTTGAACAAGCATAAAGTTGCTTTGCATCATTTGGTTTAGCTGAACTAAATCATGATAGGGTCAGCTCTGATGGTCTCAAGATGGCTCCAGCCACCCTCAGAACTTGAATCTCAGCGTTTCCTTGAAATGTTGAGAACATGCAAGAAGAAAAACCTCTGCTGATCAATGTCTTTTGAAGCATTCCTGGGACTTATGAAGAAGTAGTCAAAACAGACTTTAATATACCCCATTTAATACCGCAACAAGGATGGATGAGTTTATTAAACCTCACAACACTTGGGTATCCAGGTCAACGGAACTAAAACTGCACAAAAGCTGGCTTTCTTCTGCATAGTACAACCATTTGTTACTTTACAAGTACATTTTTGTGGAAACGTCTGGCAAAAAGGCACCCCTTCAATCCAGAATCATT